ATACCCACACAAAAGAAACAAAAAATAGGAAGAATATGTTTCTATACTTCAATACACCTATTTCATCTTGTTCAAAAGCAACGTCGCCAGAAACCGAGATTAGCTCTTCAGAAAGTGAATTCCGCTCCCTAATTGTTCGGGCAAAAAATTATGCATAAAAATAGTCAGTTCGATAACGAAACTGCAATTTTTTCGAGTGATCAAATGTTGCAGATTCATGATCCGGTTCTAATATAGACGCAATGAAACGCACGCCTGGCGGCAGTTGCAAACTAACCAGAAAAAAAAAAAGTTGATGTTGATTCCATGCAACGAGCGAAGTACTCTTCAATATTTTTGCCGTGGTATCCGAAAATAATAAAATCCGATTTCATCTTTTGTGGTCTCACTCAAAACTAAGTTTACGATGGTAATGCAGTGGCACATCATTGAATATCCCTAAACAAGTTTGACTCAAGTGTGGATTTTGTAAAAAATTATAATGGTTCAGCACATCATCTGGGGTGGACCAGGTACATAAATGGCAAAGCAGAAATGTCTCAAGAATAAACCCTAGAAAGGACAAATCTCTACTTAGAGATATAGTCGAACCCGTTTATAGCGAACAGCCGGAAACGCTACAATTTGTTCGGCATAGTAAGTAGTTCGATATAGCAAAAACCATTTACAACAATCTTCCACGATGCGTTCGCTTCTCTTTGTGGGCATCCACAAAGAGAAGCGAAGTGGACCACGAAGAGAATCGCATCTCTTCGTACGCAACTGCTTTTAAACAAAAAGCTTTTTTTTTTGTACGTGCATGCAGAGTGCGTTTTTTTTTTAGCTTTTTCTACTCTTCACAACTTGAGCTTTTGGAATTGCGCGTTTTTGGAAGCCTTCCCAGGTGGAAATAGTTCGATATAGCCAATATTTTGTTTGTTATAAAAAGTACATTTACAAGCATTTTTATTTAAATTATCTATGATCTCGATATCGACACAAAATCGCTGTACGTGGGTTCGTTCTAAACGAGTTTCGCTGTACTTCATCTCATAAAAAATATCCTACGCCATAGCAATTTTAAACGTGCTGAGAAAGTATTCCAACCTTAATTTGTATTAAATAAGTTTTAACCAATTGACTCTCAGTATTGTAGTACTTTTAGCATATTATTTTACATAAATGTTTTCAATATAGGTTAAGACAGTATGATATACTTTATTTAGAAAGGTTAGTGTTGTAAATTACTTCGATTACTCGATAGTTTTATTAAAACAAAGTGTTCACATCACTGTAAGACTATCATTGGGCAGTTAAACAGTAAGAAACAGGTGATAAATGCAAAAGTGTAAACATTACGCTGAAGAACTAGGCCACGAAAACACAAAGGTAATATTGCGGTGAAACCAATTCTGACAATGTAACAGCATAACCAGGTACTCGATCGTCCTGAAAGCAGCAATAGTTAACTTACGGTTAGTGTTGCTATTATATTTTTGGTACCAGTTTCATTTTTCTTCTTTTAGAGTAAAGAGGGAAGAGGATCGATTTCTAAATGCCAGTTGCCGGTACAGTTCTTTCCAACACACTTTTAGCCTGGTTTGAGTTAGGCGGTGAACATACATCACCGAAAACTCTCGCCTAAAGGGGACAATTTATATGAGCAATTTAATCCTAGGATGTTTCACTGGGATACAAGCTCATTTTCGTTGGGCAGAATGCATTTTCTCCACCAGCATACTGAGTGGTGAATGTATCCAGCCCACTCTGAATATTGACTTTAGTTTCTCAACATAAAAACGCTGTAATCTTCCTTTTGAGAACCATCTAGGCAATTATTTGATAAAATGTCGAAGATAGATTGTATCTTCGAGGAAAGCTGCGAACGAAACACAAAACAATTCCCGATTCATTTGTGGATTCCTCTTTTCCTTAACTGAGAAATATTAGAAGGCAATCGTTGTCACTTCGATTTTGTTTTCTGCTTTGCAACCGAAATGCGCTATTGCAAGAATGAGACAAGACAGTAGCGCCACGGTGCGGCTCCTAGTATAGGCGTTTTGCAATGAGCCCGACCAGACTGCAGAAAACATACCTTGTTTAGCCGCAAACCTCATTTTACTTTCACAAATCCTGCATGCCGTGAGCGTCCGTTGGTGACGCAAAGAGATCATGAGGACGATGAAGCCCATTTGTCAAAAACTCGAAGGACTCCCTTTTCAAAGGTGCAGCGGGAGGCAGTGGGCTAATATATATTCTTTTAATGAGCCATCCTCAGACTGTCCCGGCGAAGCGGCCTAAACGTGGGAGGGCTGGGTGGGTTAACGCGCACCCCTGTGATATACTGCCGCCGTCCACAACTGCGTCTCCAAAAGGGACGATCCAAAAAGTACGAAATACGTTGTGAGTACAGGTTCTCGGAGAGGGTGTATCTCAAAAAAACATCCCTTTCGCAATTTGCCCTTCCTAAGTTCGCCCCATTCTCGTTTGGATCTTCTCGTTTGAATCTTTTCAAAGCATCCAAACCGGTTTGTTTTTAGCGTTTAAGCTTATTCGGTTTTGGTCCCATTCGCATTAGGACCGAGAGGCGTGTGCTATGTTTTCACCCCTGGATTGGCTTCCAATGCTCGTAGCGTACGAGTACGGAGTGTATGTGTGAGAGGGAAAGGTGTGGGGGGGGGGGGGGGGGGGGGTACCACGTCGTCTGCACCTTTCCACGACCCGAGAAGAGAGAGACCTGCGAAGCCGTCCTTTGACACTAAGGAACAATTGGGTGTTTTATTGCCCAGCGCCTCCTACCCCTTCCGGGAAACCAAAAGAGCGGGTCCTGACCTCGGCTGCATGTTTCAAAAGCAGAAGGGACGTATTGCAGGAACTATTAACTAAACCGCGGAACTGAAACACGTGTGCCTGTGTATGTGAGCGCGTGCGTGAAGACGCTTTGCAGCCGCTATGCATGGGTGCCGCCATAACCGACTTTCAGTTTTAGTTGTTCTCTTAATCCAAATACTTCACGTCATTACTACCACAGCAGGAGAAGCCAGTGCCATTCTAAATTACACTTTGTTCTTCTCAGCCTATGCCTTTGTGGAAGCTCCTCAAGGCCCGCTCAGTGGCTCGGCATCTCAGCAAGACAAGAGAAGCTCAGGAATGGTGGCTGTAATCTTGCGCGTCTGCCAAGCGTCTGTAGGCGAGCTGGGAGGGTCGAAAGGTGAACTTGCAGGAGCTTCTTCGGGGACCTGTTGTGACCCAGCCATTACACGGACCCGCAAAGGATGTAACGAGAATAGTATCAAATGCGCCGAACCCAATCGAGGAAAAGTTTTGAAAACGGCCATTTTGAGAAATTTCAAACGAGAATGTCGAAACAAGAACGGTACCAAATGATAACCCATCTCCCGGATAGCCGACACATGGTGCGACGCGAACATAAGTTGACAGACGGCTGCAAATCATGCACAAGGCCAGGCTTCTATGTGTCCTTGCATAATCGATCCTAGAGCGGCGTATAAACGGTTTGTCTCGATATCGCGACATTGTTCTAGAAGAGGTTAAAGCATGTTTTGTAACATTTTGAGAAGTCCAGTGTCCGAAAACATAAAACAATTGAGCAGTCGTGCATTAATCCCAGTACAGTCCCAACCATAGCAGGGAAACGTGACGGCAAAGTCGTTGGACATCGCCGTTGCCTTCGCGCAGAGCTAGGTTCGCGAACGAAAGCGTTCTAAACAATATATATATATATGACCATTTTGTTCCGAACGCTTAATTTTTTTTTTTCCGGAGCGTGTTAAACCGCTTCTCCCGGTACGAGCTCTTAGTCTTGAGAGCGCTACGACTGCAGTTTATTATCGGTTATCTTGTTGTTTTTCTGTCTGTTTGTTTTTTTGTTTTCCAGAGAGCGCGTGTAGTGAGCATCATGTTCTACTAAAACTTAAAGCATGGTGCGAGTTATTAGCCGTACGACATAGCTGAATGGTAACGTATCCGGTTCGCAAGCAGCGGACCGATTTCGATTCCTGTGGCGGCGGGGGCAGCGGTAGATCTTTTTTTAGGATTTTGCAGCATCGACGTCAAGCGTCGTCGATGCTGCAACCCCCTCCCCCCCCCCCCCCCGCCCCTTCCCCAAACCTGACTCAAAACGGACGTCCTACATCACCGATTGCGACATCAAGAACATCAACTACAACTACTGATACACCTACGACAACTGCCTCGGAAGTCATTTCCGGTGAAAGAAGAAAGAGCAGAAGACCAACTTTCAAGATTGCCTCGTCCTGCCGCTAATGAGTTCATGTTTCTGAGCGCTGGGGCATTACCTCTAAGTGGCGTTGGTGTCCGTCGTGCGTGACGGATTGGTGGAAACCAGGGAGATGACGTCGACACATGATGCGAGGAAATCTGCAGTGAAGGATGGTGGCCGTAGTTTGATGGACACCTGGGGAGGGCGCCTTAAGGGACGTCTGAAGAGAGCCGTTAATGTCGGAAGTCCTCGGGACATTTAGAACACGCCAGTCACGAAAAGTGGTCAACCTGACGGTGGTCACCTAATTTCATTAGCTAGACTGTAGTGAGTATCAGCTCGGGACTAAAGTCAAAACATCCGTGAAACCTTAAACTCAGCGGCTGAATTCTAAACTTTCACTAATATTTCTCTAAATAAAAATGCATCTTTATTGGTACCAGACACTAAGGGGCTCGAAATAGTTCGACGTCTCTGGGCCCGTTTTCTCGAACGCAAACCGTGGTTTAAAGTTAACTATTGTCCCTAGAACGGGGAATTTTAGGTCACGTGACTGGGCGAGCAGGGGCGCCGAGGGAGAAGCAGTACCTACAAGCAAAATGGCCGCGACGTCGCTTAATGAGGGCTAATAGTTCTGCTTGATTCTGCCAAACATTCATTTCGATCCGGCTGTTATATTAATGACGCGCCATCAACCTATTAGCACGTCAAGCAAAGCGGTAGTTCAGAGGGACAACTAAGCTAACCGACGGCAGCATTCCGCGAACGCATCACTCTTCACCAGTCCGGGACCCAGGACATATGACGGTACATCAGCCTTGCAAGTGTTTTTATGGTGAGTAAAAAATGTTTTGCGAACAAGCGTTGGTATACGAACAGGTTTAATTTGTTACACTGTGCACGCCAACTCGCGAACAGCGATTACTTTGCGGAGAAAGGGGTTATCTTCGATAAAGTCTTCGTTCCGAGCGAACAGCTGAGACATTGTACCGTTTTTGTTTTGTTTTTTGTTTTTTTTTTTTGTTCGCAGTGCGCCGACAGTATGCCGACAGCATCGAGGTTTCTACATATCCCCGGTGGCCAGCAATTCAACGGTGACGAGAACCTTAGCTTTACGCTGAAGCAGTGCCGCTGCGTCTGGTTCTGACCGCGACGGTCGGTCGATGCATCCACCAATGGAAAAGATAGTACAAGCGCGGTATACGAATCAACCTTGCCGATGTCATCTGCAGAAGTCGCAGAAACGAGAAATAAACAAACACTTATTACAAAGAAAGTTGACGAGATCATCCTTTCGCTTTTTTTTTTTTCGTTTTTAAAAGTTATATGAGGATTATCTTTCGTCTTATTGCGATATATAGCAAAACGCAGGTGTGCTGGTAGAGAAACCAAGGTAGCAGACGATAGTGTCCTGACCGCAAACGTCGGTTGAAAATGGACCAAGCGTCAGTATCGAGGGCTTGCGAACAGAGGCAAAAAATTATGACATTAGACGAGAGATTGAAGTTAATTCGGGAAGTTGGGGCAAGAAGGGAACAAATTATGGGAAAATTCGGTCCTGCAGTAACTGCACACACGAGACAGCAGGCGTGGCTCGACATTGCCGATGCAATGAATGAGCAGGGAGCTCAGAGGACCGCAAAGCAGCTGAAGGAGGCGTGGCAAAACCCCCTGAAAAAATGCAGAAAGGTCTACAGCGCCTACAAGAAGCATGAAGGGCGCACAGGTGAGTCGGAGGAATTTGCATATTTCGAAAAACAAACTAGTTTTCAATTGTTCGCTTTAAAGATGAGTGGGGGGGGGGGGGGCAGGGACACAAAAAATAAACAGAACCTTTTCTGCCATGGATTATAATGCCGTGTTTGCATTTAATTTTTTTATGGCATGACTGATGACAGATATAAAAGTGAGTGTCGACGTGTAACTTTCCACTACATTCCAGTCCTTGTTCGAAAACAGTAATAAAATCAAAAGAGGCAACATCTCAAAACACTTTATTGAAATTTCCTTTAACCGTGTTTTAGTAACCGAGACACACATGAAACAGCAAAAAGTGTGGTAGACCTGAGACAGAGGAGATCAAAATGTTGAAAGCACACCACCTAAACTGTGCCTTTTCTGTTGTTTTTAAGAAAACAGTCCTAAAACTTAGGGCATTGTTGTTCATCGAACACGTCGCTGAATACCCTACACTACTGCATCCTCAAGGCACACAGAAAGCACTATGTACAAAGTTGACTGCAGCACAATTGCACGCAGCGATGTGCATGTTGGAAGGTCGCTGTTGCGAGATCACTCCACTGCAATGTTAAGAAGTTACATTTCTGCCACACAGTATAAATTACTATGCTTTTATTTGATGCTTCATAATGCCATTAGATTTCTGCTGTTTATATTCTAGCTTGGTAGTTGGTTATTGATCCCCCTCCACTCTGCAATGCCTCTGGGGCCCGGGTGACTACGGAATGAAAATAATGTGCATTCATTTGGTAGGTGCCGGCCCGAACCCCCATGAACTGACGCCCCTAATTCAGGCAGTTCTCGACGTGATCGGCGTCGACTCGCCGAACCTGTGTGGGCTCGATGTCATTGAGGGTGACACGGAAGAGCGAGTGGATTACTCTTACATCAGTCTGTATGACAAGTCAACAGCACTGAGTGCCGGGCATGCAGAACAGCTCTGTTATTAATGGTGGGACCCTAAGAAACTGATGTGAGAACAGGGAGATTGTAAAAATTGTCATAGTGCCATACACACAATATCTAATTGGAAATCAGCGCACTTTCATGTATCACTACTGCGTGATGCAGGTTAGGATAGGGAGCCCAGGCTAGCGGACATACTGCACTGCCTTTGGGTCACTTATGGCAAGCATGTAATCGTGAATTTCTCTTCATTTTACTCATACGGCTGCATAATTGCTCTACAAGCAACCTGCAAAAAACACACACAGAAGGATATGTAGCAAAATGTGCTCATTACTAACATAACTAACACCCAGACAACAGAACTACCGATGTACCAAAGGCAGATATCCGAGCAGAGTTGTAGTACACTTTTTGATGGTTGAAGGAATGCAAGGTGGTGATATTTAGTTCTAACCTCTTAACCAACAGGTGCAACAAATAAGACGATATTCTTCCTTTGAAAAAAAAAGGTATAACCCTGTTGTTACGCATGATATTTGATTAGTTGTTGAATGAGTGAACAAACTCATCGTTTATGCTGTGACGAACTAGTACGGAACGCAAAAGGAAAGAGGTAGCGTTGCTGGCATCAGTTATCGGTTTAACAGCAGGATAGAAAGCCATAGCAAGATTGACTCTGTACATAGCCAAGCGAAAACTCTTTTGTAGCATCGTGGATTTCGTAAACAACGAGACTTGAATGTTTGGTTTCACAACATCCTTAGGTGAAATAAATGGCAAGGTTAAGAAATTTATAAGAAAGCTAAAGGTAATGAAATACTGAAAGTTGCAACCGGTACAAGGAATATTACCGTAATATCCCGAGAGACGACCCATCCCAAATAGATAGCCCATCCTGATTTGTAGCAGGACTTTCTATTTTTCAATGGCTCAAGTTGAGCTACCTTGTGAACACCGAATGTTAGCCTACCCCTTATTTTTACCTAATGTGCTCTCAGTTTTGGGTGGGCAATTTCTCGGGATATTACGGTGAGCATGGATTTCTGCATGAGCACCATGTGTGTGGTCCACTCGGAGATGCTTGAAGCATCAGAGAGTTTCTGTTCTACAGTTAAGTACACTGTGGCAAAATTCCAGCAACATGTCGGGGTTACAAACACTGTATGTTATACGTATGTTGCCTGCACACTCCTAATAACTACAGCAAATCACTTCCTGCATATCCATTTGTCACAGCGATAGCTTGAGGCAAACGGCAGCGCCGCAGCCTCGGGCGTCAGGAAGCGGCCAAAGGGTGGCAGCAGCAGAAGAGTGGGCAGCAGCTCCCCGTGTCTTGCAGACGAGACGTTGGTGCCGGGAAGCTGCGCAGAGGTATCAGCAGCAAGCTGAGGACCAGCAGCAGATGGAGGCGGAGAACCTCCTGTTGGATAGGGAGGCAACAAAAAGAGCCATAGATGCCTCCAATGCACAAATCGCTGCAGCAGATGGTGCTAAGCAGTATTACACTGAAATGCTAAGGCTACAAACCTTGCAGACTGAACTTCAAATTGAGCTTTTGAAAAAACAATTGGGAAAGGAGTAATCAGAACAGACCAAGGGGGGGGGGGGGGGGGAGCATTAAGTTCTAAGATTTTTTTTTTTTTTTAGATTGACGAAGCAAGGGCGGATGTGAAATAATAAAAGTACATTTTGAAATGCAAGGATTTGTGAAAACCTCAGTATGTTATGGGGTAGTCGTCCCTGGAGAAAAACACTCGACCCTATGCGACAGCCAGTAAGATGGTGCAAGTAATTTTAACGAATAATGAAATATTTTTATCGCCTCCCCAGTATTCCAGAGTACCACATTGGTATCCGACACCAGCGACAATCTAACCAGCTGAGTTTCCATACATGTGCGCAAGCCTGTCGACACGTCAAAAACATCATTGTTGGGCACTAAGGAAAGAAGCTTAACAATTCGACCCTGCTCAAAACAAAACAGCAAGTAAGCAAATAACCTAGGAAGTGCCTGCACGGCGCAAACAGTGATTATGCGTTTAAATGCATGGTTACTGGTGGGACCACTCGGTGTGCCTGATTTCTTCGAGGAGAGTGTGTCGCGGAATTTACACCGTTCAGGAACTCTGTACTCTTTTTGTTCACTTCCCGAAAAAAACAGGCATTACCATACTTCAACCTTGTTCGACAGCGATTTTATACACCCTTTACTCTTTTTCTAAGTGAAATAACCAATGACAGAATTATTCCTCTTATGTCCATGACCCATTAGTGGCTGTTATAATCAGACCACTACTGTGACGCATACAGGTTGACTCCTCTCACCTGTAGAATACTTTTAAATATGGTAATAATACCAACTTATAGGACAGAGGCGCAATAAAATGAAATGGTATTATTTTTAAGGCTATTATTTCGCTCACCCCTATAATTACTCGCACTGAGGGCATTGATGTTCGCGTAGCCTGTAGTATGAAGACAAGCACGATGACCAACACGCAGAAGTGGGCCGAAGCTTTTCGCACAAAAGCCGCACGCACTGTTGACCGAGGCACACAACAGCAATATATTGCAGGACTTTTGCGTATGTGGTTCAATGGGTCATGCAGCAATTTCACTGTTAAACGCAGTTGCAATTATGCTGCTTGACCAACTCTAACCTTTTATAACGAGGTACGCTGCAAGACATGTCAATCAATCTTTGGGCATTTGTTACTACATACCGAAACTGGATGAGGCGAGAATGATTCTGATCCGTGCCTGCAATGCTGTTCAGAAGAGTTACCTTGTTTGGACACCGCCACATTACATCTTAAGTGCATGTCATTGTTGCAACCAACAAAAAACATGCTGCAATGAAGAGGGTTTGCGACACAATATGGTTTGCAATGTTTGAGGCACTCTTTCTGCTACAATGTTCGATATGAGGGTGGACGCCTGAGCAGCATACGACGGGCGCTGCATCGTCTCCAAGCGACGCTTTTGCAAATAAAGGTGGATAGCAGCAGCACAACATCTGCTTGCTCTAATATCTGCCAATGCTTCCATTCTTTTGCAACGAGTGAATTCCGCAAAGCCTGTTTAGCCTCGTATATAAACCATACATGAAGAGTGCTTAATAAAGATTAAAATATCTATGTTCTCCAAGGAATATGCTGGGGTTGGTTCAGCCCCTTATATCAGCTGCTGGTGAAAGCACAGCCAAAAGATGCCACGAAGCATTCAAGAAAATTTATTATATGAAATCGCGTGCCACATTCAACTTGTTATTATGGTTATCCATTTACGGAGCCTGGTAAACACACAGAGAGGACAATATCTCTGTATGTTTCTCGCATTCAAGAAAACCAGTTTGAATTGAAAAGACCACATACCCACATACTTACGCTCAACAGAAGAACTGGTCGACAAGGGCACGCCGGGCCTCGTTGCTTTCTCCACGGCCGGCTGCCATGGGCTCCACAGGAACCTCAGGCGGGATGGCAGTCCCTGGCATCGCGCAGGGGTATCTCTTGGCGAGATTGTGGAGCACGCAGCATGCCACGATGATGTCGCAGCATCTGCTTGGCGCCATGCGCAGCTCGGCGTGCAGGCAGTGGAACCTGCGCTTCAGCTGGCCTATTGTCCTGCGTGCATCATATGGACAGAATGAGTATTATTTATTTAAATTACACTAACATATTAGGGCTGAGACTATTTCATACTTTCTGAATGCTGTAGCCTACCGAAAACCCTGCAATCATTTCTTATCATTGCCAAGATATATAACAGTATGTTTACATGTAGACCATATTAAACTTCCCTCGACAAAAGTTCCTCATAGCTGAGTGTAAGCGAAACACAGTTTCATACAAACAGTCGTTAACATTAGCAGTCCGAAGATGTCTGTCAACGACTTCCCCATAGCAACACGAGCCCGGTGCAATTTGTCACATTTTTACGGCGAGTCCCAGCAGTGTGGAGTATTTTAGAATGTATGGCAAGTAGGCGTGTAATTTCTGTAAAGGTGGGGCCGGAAAAAAAAAACACGGCTTTGCATTTGTATCTTTTTGCTCTTCTGTATCCAGGTTGAACCAAAATATTGCCTTTCACACGTATGTAACAAATCCTGCCCCTAACGAACGAACAATGTGATATGTTCTCCAAAAAATATGTTGGAGAATATTTCACGTTTTTGTTTTTTGATACGATGCATGCGTTTTGCATGTCTGCTACATTGGGTGCTACATTGGGTGCAACATAAGGGTGCAACGTAGACACGTTGCATAAGGGTGCAACGTGTCTACGTTGCACCCTTATGCAGGCCCTCGGGCTGTATAGGGGCACTGGAAAGTACAATAAATAAATATATATTCTTGGGATAGTATTTTCTTTCTTCTCTCTTTAGGTTCCGTGCAATTACTGTTTTCTGCTGGGTCTAGAGAACACAAAACTGCATGTAGGGGCGTTACAATTAACAGTGTCTTCTGTGCTATGACAACAAAATGTTACGTTGTCTAGTGGCATTCTTTTCAATATAGCAGCCCAGTAACCCACCACGATGCGTGACTTTGTCTTACCTTTCAACAATACTCCTTGTCGTGGTGTGTGCCGTGTTGTACCTCACTTCTGCTGCTGATGATGGCGACAGGAATGGCGTCATCAGCCACGGCTGGCAGGTGTAGCCGCTGTCGCCGAGCAATAGGCCATCGTAGATGCCATCGGCCAGCTTGACTGATAGTGTGCTTTCGGTGAAAATCCGGGAGTCGTGCGTGCTTCCTGGCCATCTCGCAACCACATTGCGTATGCGGCAGGACGCGTCAACTACCACCTGTACGTTGATGGAATGGTACAGGTGGCGGTTCACGTACACCTCCTCGTGCACGCGCGGTCCCTGGATTCGAATGTGGGTGCCATCAACAGCACCCACGACACAAGGGAACCCGGCTACGTCAAAGAACTGCTCCTGCAAGGCAGCACTCTCTGCGACGTCAGGCCACCTGCATTGCCAATACATTCACAAGTTTATTTACAGCACAATACCCTAGCATGCACATTTATGCAAAGTTTAGCCGACAACATTCGTTTTTTTTTCTGCTTCAGTGTTCATCGTAAAAAAGAAACGTCGTAAATATCGCCAAATGCCTCGACAAAACAAAATGTTCGAGAAAAAAAAAGTGGGCCCACACCGCGGATCGAACCCGTGTCCACTTATGTATGAAGCAGACACCTTACCCCCCTATGCACGGTGTATGCCCCTATGCTATGCCATCTTTTCTTTTTTTTTAACCCTATGCTATGCCACCGATTATAAAACACGTAGTAACCATTCGTGTTATAGGCTCCCTGCACTGACGTCACATCGCATACTTTTGAACACCAAGTAAAAGGAGGAGAGGGAAACTGCCTTTGTAAGAATGTTGAGTGACAGGTTAATCTTCTCTAATCATCTGGCAGGAGAATAGCAACGCCTGTGCAAACCCGGGAGGCACAAAGGAGGACCTTGATAAGAGGGTAGCTCCTTCTTTCCCTTTTCTCTGGAGGGCAGTTTCGCGTATTGCGTATAGCCCTTTCCGGCCGAGGTGCACGACGGAGTGCGTATAGCTTTACTCATAAACAAACTCAACACAATCTGACTTTTTTTTTTTTTGACTCGGAACGCTCAGGAACTCTTTACCGTATGAAGTCTTACCGTATGAAGTCCCTTGCTCGACGTGCCAGAGCTACGGTGACCTGCCTCACGGACCGTGAAGCACTAGAGACTTGCACGTGGACATAGTCGCCTGCAGTGATGAGGAAGTTGCCTGTGGCGTAGAATTGCAGAGCGACGATCACCTGCTGCTCTGCGGACAAGGCGCAGCTGCGACGCGTCGACCGCTCCAAGTCCGGGCGCAGCGTCTCCGCGAGAAACATAATTCCCGCGCGACCAAACCGGAATCGTTGCTGCAGCGCATCCTCGTCGAATTCTTCCAGCGGATCGAGGCGGTCCCGGAACACACGTTGTCGTCCCAGCATGACGACAGCGTACTGCGCGTACGCGCGGTCTCGTCGACGTCGACGCCTCGTCCCGTTCGACATCGTTTCCGTTATCAAAGTACAAATAGGTCCGCAAATCAGTTGTTAGTAAGTCCGCAGTCGGTCGGTGGGCTAATCGGTGGATCGGTTGGGCAAACGGAAGAGAGGGCAAACAGTTGAGATCAGGAGGAATCGTAGAAACGTGCGTCGCAGGGAACAAAAACGAGTCTACAGCAGCGGCGTTGCCAGACTGGAAGGGACTCGGGAAAGTTATGCGTTGTTTATGGCGAAACATATTGAAGGAAATGTTTCTTACGTCTTCAAATATTCGTCGACAAACTCTAGCATGGTAGCTAAAATTTCTTCGTAGCATCTGAAGCAAATAAATTGTTCTTCAAGTACAACATTACTATATTTTGACTTAGAATATCATACTAGAGCGATAACAACCAGCGGAAAAAGAGAATAAACAAAATGACTGGCTTGTTTCACCGATAGATGACGCATCTTACTGCCCAATCAAAAATAATTATTGTGGTTTTATATCCAGCCGTTTATTATAGTACCTAGGTACTTTTTCCTTCCTAGGTACCGTGGTTTACTAAAATGGGTTTACCATCGCTTCGAGAAAACCGGCCCTGGTGTGACCGCCAGCGATGGTTAAAACAGCCATGCTACGCTAGTCTTGGCGCTCCAGCGATGCGCCTTTCTACAGTCCACTGCTATCGCTCCTAGGCTCCCTGATTCATGCTGCTACTGCGCAAGTGCGGAGGGCAAAGTGGAGAACCCCAAGCCCCCAAGGTTAACTACTTTTTAATTAAAAATCAACATACACAAAGCTTTGTGTTCTGGACCGCCCTGGACTGGCGAAAAATCCACCCCTGTGTTATCAGTGGTGAACGAATGCGAAGTTTTGATAACGAAACATTACCTGGATAAAAAGAGGCGAGGTTAAAGCAAAGTGTATTCATAAGGTACAAATAAATATCATTGTGGGCACCTTCAGCATTGTTTTGGTAAAATATATTTGTGAGCAAGAAATCGAACAATATCGTCTGTCTTTCCTTACAAAATATTGTTTGACTACAACTAATAATGCTACAGGCGCACAGAATGATTTTTTTGGCTAGTTGAATATTTTGCGTTGGTGGACGCATCAGATACCTAAAAAAAAACAGTTTTTCTCTCTTATCATTTGAACACACTGTTTGGAACATTTCACATTCTGCCACTACCGCAAGCTCCACATACGCATGAGCTTTTAGCTTTCTCCAACGTCTTAATTTATTTCTGGTGGCCCAAAGTGCCTTTCACTTTTTTTTCCATCAGGACCGGTGGAAGCAAACTACAGTACTCACATGCAAGGAGTACTCACATGCGTAGTTTGCGAGTATGCTGCCTGCGGGCACCACAGTCGCAAACTACGTATTTCGAATATAAGATGACTCGAACAAAAAATGGAGACGAGAGACGAAAGTAACACCTCAAGCAGCGTCAGTCTTCTACATGTTAGTCAAAAAAAGTGATCGATTAAAATTACAATCATTCTCAGTTAAAAAGCATACATTTATATAACTTGATTGCTTGAGATGAAAAGTATTTTACCTTCGGTTGAAAAAGTACTTGTACACTTTTGTTCTACTTAAAATTTTTAAAACACAGTTTGTTTACTTTTTGTCAATTTTAAAACTAGGTTTTTTGTTACCAAAATTGGTTTAGAATCGCCGAGTCACAAGCTACTTGTGTGCTTAATTTCCTAATTTTGATAAACCATTTTGCTGTCGAAGACATATGCATTGAGGATTCCTTGGGTGAAAAACATGCACCAACAAACGGCGCAATCAGAAAGTAAACGAAAGAGAAGTAATAGCTGCAAGTAAGACTAGTACCGTCAAAGGTACTCAGATTACACTGCTGCTCACTCCCCAATGAAAGTAAATAAATTATTTAAAAATGCCTAAAAATTCAGCAATTACGGGTAATTTATTATTTGTAATAACTTCAGTACAACCTGACCAGCGTCTAGCCAGAGGTTTCTCCTCGTGATGAACCGCAGGGGATGCCACCAGTCATACCGGAGAATCCAGCAGCGGGAACATCGTGATTTCGCTCCACCTATGAGGTTTACGCGCCCCGCGTGTCGCTGTGCCCCTTTCGAAGGTTACGTGATACTGGCAAGGCATCTGATTGGCTTCGATGGCTTTGTAGCACCCTTGAATTCGCCCAGCAGGTGAAGCGGGAGCATATCGGGTGATCGGCATCCTATCGCCCGGCGCCCCTTTGGCCCGTCGCTCGCGCCTTCTTGGCCGCCGCCCACAGTGTTAGCCACCGCTCAAAAAAAACAAACACGAAAGAGCCTGTCGATGTTTCACTTTTTTATGTTGCTCATGCCGTCTGTCTTCTTCATTTTTGCGGAGTATCGTTTCGCATCAACAAAACAAACGAACGAAAAATAGCTCTTTCGGCTGCTGGCCCCGTCCGCCTTTACCGGACCTCCCACTCTACTCGCCGACGCCAGGTTGCTCTGCAACGAGACGAGGAACTTAATTGTATTTACTTATTCAGAAATTGTCTCTAGGTTGCCGGCACTTCGTCACCCGCCGGGACCTGCAAAAATGGACACATTTAATGTTTTTTTTTTTACGGAGAACTGTTTCTACTGATCCAGTAGTTGCCACCTAAGATTGCGGTTTAGTTCTGGTTCTTGCGTCCTTGAGCGAAAACACGCCGGTGACACGAAAGCTACCAGAACAAAAGGTACCCATGAAACGGCGCTAAAAGTGCGACATTCGAGAGCCCGCTGTCATCGGAGGCTTGCTATCATCGGCACCACAGCCGACGCCACGATCCGAGTGACGTAACGAAACGGCGCCAAAAGTGCGACGTCCGAGAGCGCTCTGTCTCCGGAGGCTTGTTATCACCGGGAACACAGCCGACGCCACGATCCGAGTGAGGTAACGAAACGGCGCCAAACGTGCGTCGTCCGAGACGCGCAGTCTTCGGAGGCTCGCTATCACCGGGACCACAGCCGACGCCACGATCCGAGTGAGGTAACGAAGCGGCGCCAAAAGTGCGTCGTCCGAGAACGCGCTGTCTCCGGAGGCTTGTTATCACCGGGACAACAGCCGGCGCCACGATTCGAGTGAGGTAACGAAACGGCGCCAAAAGTGCGTTGTCCGAGAACGCGCTGTCTCCGGAGGCTTGTTATCACCGGGACCACAGCCGACGCCACGATCCGAGTAAGGTAACGAAACGGCGCCAAACGTCGGTCGTCCGACAGCGCGCAGTCTTCGGAGGCTCGCTATCACCGGGACCACAGCCGACGCCACGATCCGAGGGAGGTAACGAAACGGCGCCAAAAGTGCGACGTCCGAGAGCGCTCTGTCTCCGGAGGCTTGTTATCACCGGGACCACAGCCGACGCCACGATCTGAGGGAGGTAACGAAGCGGCGCCAAAAATGCGACTTCCGAGAACGCGCTGTTTCCGGAGGCTCGCTATCACCGGGACCACAGCCGACGCCACGATCCGAGTGAGGTAACGATACAGCGCCAAACGCGCGTCGTCCAAGAACGCGCTGACTTCGGAGGCTCGCTATCACCGGGAACACAGCCGACGCCACGATCCGAGTGAGGTAACGAAACGGCGCCAAACGTGCGTCGTCCGAGACGCGCAGTCTTCGGAGGCTCGCTATCACCGGGACCACAGCCGACGCCACGATCCGAGTGACGTAACGAAACGGCGCCAAAAGTGCGACGTCCGAGAGCGCGCTGTCTCCGGAGGCTTGTTATCACCGGGACCACAGCCGACGCCACGATCTGAGGGAGGTAACGAAGCGGCGCCAAAAGTGCGTTGTCCGAGAACGCGCTGACTTCGGAGGCTCGCTATCACCGGGAACACAGCCGACGCCACGATCCGAGTGACGTAACGAAACGGCGCCAAAAGTGCGACGTCCGAGAGCGCGCTGTCTCCGGAGGCTTGTTATCACCGGGACAACAGCCGGCGCCACGATTCGAGTGAGGTAACGAAACGGCGCCAAAAGTGCGTTGTCCGAGAACGCGCTGACTTCGGAGGCTCGCTATCACCGGGAACACAGCCGACGCCACGATCCGAGTAAGGTAACGAAACGGCGCCAAACGTCGGTCGTCCGACAGCGCGCAGTCTTCGGAGGCTCGCTATCACCGGGACCACAGCCGACGCCACGATCCGAGGGAGGTAACGAAACGGCGCCAAAAGTGCGACGTCCGAGAGCGCTCTGTCTCCGGAGGCTTGTTATCACCGGGACCACAGCCGACGCCACGATCTGAGGGAGGTAACGAAGCGGCGCCAAAAATGCGACTTCCGAGAACGCGCTGTTTCCGGAGGCTCGCTATCACCGGGACCACAGCCGACGCCACGATCCGAGTGAGGTAACGATACAGCGCCAAACGCGCGTCGTCCAAGAACGCGCTGACTTCGGAGGCTCGCTATCACCGGGAACACAGCCGACGCCACGATCCGAGTGAGGTAACGAAACGGCGCCAAACGTGCGTCGTCCGAGACGCGCAGTCTTCGGAGGCTCGCTATCACCGGGACCACAGCCGACGCCACGATCCGAGTGACGTAACGAAACGGCGCCAAAAGTGCGACGTCCGAGAGCGCGCTGTCTCCGGAGGCTTGTTATCACCGGGACCACAGCCGACGCCACGATCTGAGGGAGGTAACGAAGCGGCGCCAAAAGTGCGTTGTCCGAGAACGCGCTGACTTCGGAGGCTCGCTATCACCGGGACCACAGCCGACGCCACGATCCGAGTAAGGTAACGAAACGGCGCCAAACGTCGGTCGTCCGACAGCGCGCAGTCTTCGGAGGCTCGCTATCACCGGGACCACAGCCGACGCCACGATCCGAGTGACGTAACGAAACGGCGCCAAAAGTGCGACGTCCGAGAGCGCTCTGTCTCCGGAGGCTTGTTATCACCGGGACCACAGCCGACGCCACGATCTGAGGGAGGTAACGAAGCGGCGCCAAAAATGCGACTTCCGAGAACGCGCTGTCTCCGGAGGCTTGTTATCACCGGGACCACAGCCGACGCCACGATCCGAGTGAGGTAACGATACAGCGCCAAACGCGCGTCGTCCAAGAACGCGCTGACTTCGGAGGCTCGCTATCACCGGGAACACA